ATATTGCAGGTTTCATCATCGCTCAAATATACTTTACCAAAATTTCTCTGCACATAGTTTTATAGCATATCCATGCGTGGAGTAGCATGAAATGAAGCTCCGGAACCTACAATTTAATATTTACTGTGAAAATCCAGCTAACAAATCAAAGCATTATTATCAGACTCGTCAACAATATTAGCATTATTTTTATCTCTTTGATTATTCCCATTTTGCTTCTTTCTCGGTGCCTTGCAGTCCTGTTTTCAATGCCCCTTTTAACCACAGTTTTAGCCGTCCTCATCTCCGCCACGAGATTTATTTCGGCCTCTGTTTCTTGAATATGACTTTCCCTTGCCCTTTTTATTGCCTCCCTTATTCATAGCCCTGTTTCTCTTCTCCGTATTGAGTGTTGAACCTGAAACAACATCCTCATCTGATGTTCTTCTTCGAGCCTCTTCTCCTAGTATCAATGTCACAACATCCTCCAATTTTATCTTTGCAGACTCAGAAGAATTGCTTATTGCCACGACAAATCCATTCCAACTTTCTGGCAGACTTGATAAAAGGACAAGAGCTCTAATTTCATCATCAAAAATAATGCTCACGGATTCTAGCTGATTCGTGATAGTATTAAATTCGTTGATATGTTTAGCAACAACAGTGTTTTTAGACATCTTTAAGTTAAACAACTTTTTCATAATATATACCTTATTCACCGCTGAAAGCTTTTCGCACATCTTTTTTAGGGCTTGAAAAAATCTGATGTAGTCTTTTCATTAGCGATTTTAGACGCAACTGACGGAGCGAGGCACAGTCCCTAGGGCTTTGCGATTCAGAACATCCCACTTTGCTTGCTCTATATCCGCTGACTTTGTGCCATCGATAGGTTGATATAGATCCTTCTGATATAAAATATCTTCCATCTGTATCTTTCATAACGCGTAGCTCGTACCATTGAATTTCTCGATCTTGACTTTGTCTTCAGCCATTGTGTAAACCTTTGATCTCCTAACCCAGAGCTCTGATACTAGTTGTTGGGATCCAATGCGCTTTAAATTCACAAACAAACATACACAATCGAAGAAAAAACTAAAAACATAAAATAATGGGAAGTAAGAAAGAACAAAACACATAGATTTTATGTGGTTCGGCAATTTGCCTAAGTCCATGAAGCTACAAGAATTTCACTATTGAGAGAGCGGAATATAAAGAGCGGCTATACAGTTACACTCTAACCCTAATCATCAAAGTAACAGGTTTTTATATGTCCAACGTATCGGGCTACAAAACAGGCCCAAAGCCTTCTCTCCATGGACCAAGTCTCAGAAAATTTTCTATTAAAAATCACGCAACATTATTTCGGGTCGGGTCATCATCCAGATCAACACACAAACTAGACTGCACAAAGGCCCAACAAAATCCTTGAGGTGTGACCTTAGGGGAAAGCTTGAACTCGTGACCTCTAGCTCCTAAATTGTGCTTGTGACCATCTCATCGAAACTTGGTGTTTAAAACTAGCTCCTGAAATGAAGTACCTTTTATGTGGAGTTTACTTGATAAAACTTTTACCTTTAACTATCCTTCAGGAACTCTTCTTGATATGCATGCACAGGTTTTTTTCCCTTTTTTTTGTAAATTGACATCTTAGTATCGAAATGAACTTTTATTAAACTTATGCAGTTGATGAATGTGTGGAATCCAAAGTTGCGTCAAGCTTGGAAGCCTTGCGTCTATCAAAGTATTTCTCAGTCAGGTGTGTGCTACCTACTTTTAACCTAAAGTTGGCATATTGTTAATGATGATTCCAATTGTGTGACTCATATGATCTTGTTTAATTTTTATTTTGTGCTGAAAAATGTGTAGGTTAAGAATATGTGTGCTCCTTCATATATGATGTGTATATCTAGCTTATGAGCCTTATGGTCTTTTCCACTCCTTCAATTGTTTTTGAGTTGGATGCTTCAACGCAACTCGTTTCTCCTTCTCTCTAACCTTGGGTTTTATGTAAAGTCTGCAAAAGCCCTAACTCCTCCTCGAGCTCATGAATATAGCAGCCAACAGAAATCTTACATCCTAAAATACTCCACTTTTAGCATGATGCCTCTCCACTCACACAAGACCAAGAGCAACTCACCTTCCCTAAAGTATAGTCTCTCCAATAAACACCATACTTGGTAGCCATACTCTACTCCAGTAATTCCCCCTCACTTGAGTTGGGAAGCACACCATATCCCAATTAACTTAATGAGCAACAACAATGTCCTATATTTAACAAATGTTTGGTCTTGAATTGTTCTGAATTGGCTGTCAGTAGTTGCTGGGAATTATTAGAGAGCCACTAGAGAACTAAATTCGAGTATGCTGACAATGCCGCATGCCTGTTTAGATGAGTTGCTAATTATTTTCTGTCTTATCTATGAGCAGACCTTGTGATCATTCCTTTTTCGTCACTCATCACTATAAGAAGTAAAAAAGAAAGGTGGCTGATTTTCATCTTGTAATTGCACATTCATCTTATTGTACTTTGATAAGTTGATTGAAATTTAATAATTTGAATATTTGTGTGGCCATTAGTTGTTGGACGCATGTCACTGAAAGATGCTAAGGAACACTTATTGTTCTTAGAACTTACGAGAGAAGTAGAAGCATTTCTTGTATAATTGTAAATATGACCTTACGAAAGTTGCAGAGAAACTCTTATGTGCCTGTTTAGTCATTTTTAGCAGCCAATTTTTATTATTCTTGTTGGTTTGCTAATTTTCTTTATTTATCTCTCCGTGCTTCAAGGATTCTCAGAACTCCCAAAGTCAAATGGTTTCCTTATAATTGAAGCAAATGGTGGGTTGAACCAACAACGACTGTCGGTATGTTTTGTCTCATGGAATTATGTTCTCCGCCTTTTATCATTGGAAAGATAGTGCTGTCTGTATGTGTGTACTTGCATTTTTTATAATGGTCTAGGCATCTAATACAGTTCAAATCTTCTAGTAAAATCGTCAATCCCTCGGCTATACTAGATTCTCAAATGCTTGCGATGCCCCTAAAGCTTTGAGCCTTGTGCTTATAAACAAAAGAGTTAAGTTATTTTTTAAGTGTTTCATGTTGTACTTATTTAGTATTTATGCCCCATGAGTACTTTTATCTGCTAAATAGTAAAGAGACAACATTTGTTTCTTACATTGTATGTATTATGTGGCTATCCAACTAAAGTGAAATGGATATTTGAACCTGTCATCTTTATACTAAATTAATTACATACAAAACATATCTTCTTTATATTTAGCACCAATGGTTAGATATTTTTGAAAATAAGAATTTTTACACAAATATATATGTATTGACCTCTTGGTTTCTACTGATATATAAAACACTTTCTTCTCTGGTGTGTAAGGATGTAGATAGATGTGCTTACTAACCTTTTATAGTCTCAATTTTGCTGAACTACATATATAAAATATGAATATAACACACCCATACACTTATTTAAGTGCTAAACCAACGTGTTTTTGGTCTAATGGTACTTTTTGTCTTCTTGAGGTCAAGGGTTCAAATCCTCCCCCCCACCCAAAAAAAAAAAAAACTTATTTAAGTGCTAGGAAAGGATGGAAGGTATTAGAGCCTTCTTGACTGCTTTGAAAAAGCCAGCTTTTTAGGATTTCCTAAGTTTTTAAGGGAAGGGATCGCTGCAGGGAAATAAGGATCCCATCCCATTACTTAGAGTTTCTGGATTGGTACTTATGCAATTCTGCCATCTTCCCCTCCTCAATCTAGTAGTTCCTGAACTCTTAATCCTTATGAAATGGCAGCTCCGGATATTTGGTTTAATGTAAAACATCCCTTCTAAAAGGTGGATCCCCACAAAGTTGACCTCAATATAAATGGTGAAATGTTCTCATGCCTTATGTGATATTCCTTCTCTTTGTCTTCTCATTCAAATCTCTGACCACATTTACCTGACATGCAATATATTCCGGAGATCCTGCCTTGTACTTACCCAGGCTACTGTGATCCCTCTTTTTCCTGCTTTTGCCTTTTGAGTTTGGCATTTTTGTTTCATAGTTGCTGCTTGAAAGGAGATCCTTCGGGTTTTTCTCCCCATCTTTACCATCCTCCCTTTCCTATACCCATATCTTTTTAGATAAAATTGTGTTATCAAGAAACATATAATGAAAGTGATCTTTTGGCGACTGCGCACCAGTGAATAGCAAATTTAGCAATCACACAAATTGAAGCTTCGGTGGGACATCGGTCAATTTATTGGAAAGTACGTGATCCTAATTATGTTAATAGGGCTTAGAGAAATGGTTCAACTTCGTATCTGGACTTGGATACAAAACACCAATGTTAATGAAAGCATATAAGAGGTGTCTGGAGCATCAAAATCCTATTAATTCAATTTCTCCTACTTTGGATACAGATATGTGATGTGGTGGCGGTGGCAGGACTACTGAATGCTACTCTTGTAATACCAATATTTCATTTCAATAGTGTTTGGCGCGATTCCAGGTGACAATTTAGTTGGAATTAGGTGTTTCTTACATTGTCTTTGCATAATTCTGATATTTACAGTTCCCTTAGTGAAGGTATATTAAAGTGTTCGCAGAATGTTTTAGTTAGTGTAGTGCTACATATAATTCTCCTTGATGTCTGTTTACTGCTGTGAGTGCGAACCAGTGTTTGCAACTGCAGCTCTTCTCGATCATTGTTGTTATCAAGGATCAAAATTTCATTTTGAAACTGTCGAAATATTTCTGTTTTCAAGGAGACCAAAACGAATCAATGATGAAATCAAAAATTTAATATTTCGAGGTGTATTGTAATATTTCAATGCATTTGTACAATTATTTTAGAATATTTCAAGGTATTTCAAGATATTTTAGTATATTTCGACCAATATTTTGAAAAAAATAATTTTTAAATTTTTTATTATGTTTTCAAAATGGGTCAAAACATTTCTGAAACACGTCGAAACGTTTCCGTTTTTTAGGTGACCGAAACAAATTGATCCTTGCTTGATATTAAACCCAGTTCAGACATCAACATAACAAAAGGACCGGGCTACTATTTCAACCTTTAGTCAACCAGCTGTCCTGTCTTATGATCAGAATAACAGTTATGAATTTTTAATATATTTTACATTAACCAAATAAAAACATGGCAAAATCCTCATCACATAAATCAGATTCAGCGTACAGGATGTCGAAACTCACTAAATTCCATTTCTGAGAATAGAGTTTCCAAATCTTCTGCAGCTCCATGTTTCCCATGCATACACGAGTTTTTCACAATAGAGTATTCTCAAAGCCACCCTTTATAAAATATCCATGGACTACCACACCCTTATTGAATTCACCCAAATCTGCACAAAGTGACATAATCACAACTACTGATTCTGTAGTAGTCCCAATACCTTTGTTTCTCATCACACTATTGCAAAGCGTCTTCATTGAGTGTACTCCTAGTATGACTCACAACCATGATGTCCAAGACACAGGATTTGTGTAATTCTGAATGGTTAAAATGCCCAACTGGGCAAATTCGTGGGTTCAATGATGGAATCATCTTTTTGTCTGCCAAGATGATGACTAATATCAAAACTTTTACCACGGGCCATGCACAAAGGAACCCTAAAATTACCAAATTAATGTAAATCCTAGAATATAAGAACACAAATTATAACCAGCAGCTAAAAAAACAAAATATATAGCTCTACTCAAATGAAATCTTTTTCTTGATGTTCTAAGAGGATGCCAATTTGAGCTTGAATCATTTTTATGTTTTTTATTGTACCGTGAATATCTCCTTTCTAGAGTCTCTTATTGATTGAGTCAACAACAGTTAATCAAACATGAGAAACATGAATAAATTCCTACAATCTGGCTTTACTAACATTATCTTGTGTGGTTTTCTGGATGTTTAATAGTAAAAAGGTAATCTCGAGTTTGAGAACAGTTTCTATATCAAGTGAAGAGCCCATTTCCTTTATAATATCTCAGTTGTCGACAGTTTATCTGTGGAATTTTTCTCTATTTTCCTAGACAATTCAGCTTCATTCTTAAATAGTGAAAAGTGACTTTTGTTTCTATGCTATTCAATCTTTGACATACTTGAAATTGTTACAAATGTTTTCCCTTCATTTCTGTAAAAATGATGCAGCAAGTTCGGGGACATATTTGATGAGGAATTCTTCATATATGCACTTAGAAATCATGTCAACGTGGTTAGAGAGCTTCCAGAAGATATACTTCAACGGTTTGACAATAACATAAGCAACATTGTGAATTTGAGAGTAAAAGCATGGTCAAGTCCGACTTATTATCTTCAAAAGGTCCTCCCGAAGCTGATGGAGCTGCGGTATGTGGTTTTTGGTTTTTAGTTTTTAGGGCGTATCTTACCATTTGTTTCTTTGTAAGATGATGCAATTCAAAGTTTATCTTAGTTTGTGCTTAATTCTGTGGTACTAGAGTAACATAGTATATGATATGAAGCTGTCAATGAATTTGCATTTTCAATTATATGATGCTGCAATTATATGATGGTATTTTTGATTTGTATCCTGCGGTGAAAGAACATGAAATTTCTGAACAGCATTTGAGTTTGAGAGTTGTAGTTCAGCTCTTGGTCTTAAAGGCATTGTACAGTAACTATTTTTGAGATAAGGCTCATTAGCTGTCAAAATGAAGTAGTAAATTTAATAGCACACAAGTTTTTTACTTGATTCTTCAACTAACATGCAGTCAGTCGTGGGCAGCAGTCAGATGGAAAGGTTCTTCAAGAGATAAAAGGTGTAGTGGGTAAAAGTTTCAAGAAGCCCAAGTAGTCATGGGTTCAAGTAGGGGCGGAGCTAGAACTTTATCCGAGAGGGGGCAGGAATATGAGTGAAAAAATTAATTAATTAATTGAGATAAAAAAATTTTAGATATCAATTAATAAGGACTAAATTGAAGTAGAACACGATAACATTGTATTAAGTCTCAAGAATTGTCTATTATTGTTTAGTTTTAAGGTATAAATTCTCAATAGTTTTCTTTTAATGTGGCTGAGAAATTAATCTTTTGGAATGACTTAAATGCTTTCGGGTTAGTACAATTTACTGGTTGCATTAATTCGTGTGATACTAACTTAGGAGCCAGTAATCTATTAAAAAAGAATGATGGACAACTATATAATTGTTTAAAGAATAAGAGGGATTTTAAATAATAAAGGTGTTATCTTCGGTCAATATCTGAGTTAGGGCGTTTTACATTGGTTTATTATTTAGTCTAATTTTATTTCAGAAAATTAGCGGGCCAATGTACCATAAACATACTGGAAAAACATAATGGTACATTATGCAAATTTTCAAAGACTTAAGAGGGGGCAATATAATAAACCAAACATAATTTGTTTTTCTGATACATTACATATGTAGTATCTATTCAAAATTGAGTGGGGGCAACTGTCCCCACAGTGACAGACGTAGCTCCACCCCAGGGTTCAAGCTTCGGGGTGGAGAAGGGTGTAATATGTAGGACTCTTTAATCTATATATGATTCCTCTCAGCCAAATATCTATCTTTTATACCTTTCGGTATTACAAGGTTAGATTTTGAAATTGAGTCAAAATGGTCTATTTGTATTGAAATTATTGATGTTGTGATGAAATTGAATTAGAATTTAGTTGTACTCGATTGATTGTGCAATGAAATAAACTGGCATTGTTGAATGTTTGATGAATTGCTCAAAATATGTTTACATGTAATTGGAGAAGGATTAATTACACATGATTTTCTTGGAAATAGATGATACTACAATGAATTATGTAAAAGTTGATTTAATAGATTCTATATAACTTGGAATTGACATTGAAGATTATAAACTATGATGAAAAAAGAGAAGATATTATTACTACATTAGTTTGCTAACAACATAATTACAAAAGATGTAGAATAGAGATCATAGTTATTAAATCGTGTATCAGAAGGTGTATCATTTTTAAAAAATAATGTATCTTATCGTGTATCGTAAGATACGGTGTAATTTTATATAAATAATAAAAAAATATATATACCTTTGAAAAAAAATTATACACTCATAAAAATATAGCATATCATTAATACTCCACTATCTATTCAAGTCATCAACATAGTTCACTAATATTATTATGCAAAGTTTACAATCGTAGTTCATTAATCTAAATTTCGAACATCCATTTTGAACTCACTACATAAAATTAATCAAGATTCAGAAATTTTTATACAAAAAAAAATAAAAATTAGTGTCTTATTTAGACAAAACCACGTCGTTTCATCAGTGGCGGGGATAACATTAGTGTCTTATTTAGACGAAAAAAAGACGTCGTTTTTGAAAAAAAAAAAATATAGGTTTTGCGCGTATCGGTCGTATCGTACCGATACGTATCGTATTGTAAAAATGTATCGTGTATCGGACGATACGACGCAAAAACGATACATAACTACGATCCGTATTATTTTATCTCTGTATCGTAATATATCGTACGATACTAGCAACTATGATAGAGACCCTTTATAATAGGGGAAACCAATACTAAAGAATGCTTAAATTATCCATAATACTAAAACACCTTAAATATTCTAACACCACCCTTAAACTAATGATGTGGTATTAGAAAAATCAAGAGTTTGTCGAGAAGAAAATACAAGTGTATAATGGTGTGAGACTTCATAAGAAATTAACCAAATGCAAAGTAGAAGGAAGGAAGATAAGAGAAATGGTGCCTAGTTGAAGATGATGACACACAAAACAGTCTCAATATGCTTTGTATGCTCTTAACACATTGAATTGTGGCGGATTTGTATGCTCTTAACACATTGAATTGTGGCGGATATGAATTGCAATTGTGTTGTTGCAATACATGGGGGTAGGAATAGATAAAGAGATACCATAATCAACAAGTAATCACTGCAACCAGATCGTTAGGTCATGTTTTGTAATTGACTAATTTCGTGAAATCGTTGTAAATCTCAACCTATTCCATGGTCATGAGACTACACCGATGAAGTTCCAAAAACATCAAGTAGAAAGGAGGAGATCATGTTTCAAGCTACATAAAATGAACTCTTCGTATGCACCTCCATGCATAAGACAAAGATAATGACCTTAGAGACCTAAGAACCCTTGGTTTAATTTATTAGACTTAGGATAATGAGTGTTAAAATAGAATCGGTGATTAATCTGTGTAAGGTTCCTAGGTGTTCTTCAAAGAAAAGTTTTTTTAAACCTCTTTTGTGTTTTGAAAACATAGATTGAGCCATTAGCGGAACTCTTTTTAGCAACGCCATTTAGTGCTCAAGAGGACTAGTTTTTTGCTTGATTTTAGGCTTAAAAAATCAGTAGGGACCGACTTATATTTACTGGCCTTCACTAGAATAGTCTTTAAAAGATTTGGGAAAAATTTGAGAAAAGGCTACGTGTGTGGCAGTGGAGGCCTTCCTTTGAGTCGTTCTCAGGCCGCTCGAGTGGTCTTGAGACGACTCAAGCGGTCCTTGAGGTAACTTGAGCGGTTTATGGTTTGAATTTAAATTTCATTCTAGTGACCATTGCCCTCCCACTCTGCCCAAGCGGTCAGTCACAAATTTGTGTTTTCTTTGACTCGAAGACAAACCTTATTTCGAGCCTATAAAATAGACGGGTGCCTTCTTAACTTAGGATAAGCCTCTTTAGAGTATTTTCAACTGATCTTATGTCTTGAGAGCTTGAGCCACAACTCTAGATTCCTAAATCTAAAGGCTACCATATTATGATTCGTATCCAATCTCACACCTTAAAGAAGAAGAGTTTGGTTGGTTGACCAAACTCATTGACAAGTGTGCATACCAAGATTCATAAGTGAGTTTTAGGAGTACTCGAGGCCTAAATGAACTGTGCGGCTAAGAGTTCAAGTGAAGTTATCCAAGACATTGGTGAGTGTATCCGATGGAGAGGTTTATTGAAGGAAAGGAGTGTCTAACCATAATATTGGTTGAGGTGTAAGTCTCGAGTACTTATAAACTGACTTTGGGATAGTGGATTAGGTTTTCATGAACCCTGAGTGGTTCTACGCAGTTTTTCCCAAGGAGGGTTTCCTTGTCAACAAATTGCTTGTGTTCATTCTTGTTAATTTTGTATACGTTTGCAATTTGATGCACAGTTGGGCACTATGTGTGTTCATTCTTGTTAATTTTGTATACAATTGCAATTAAATGCACACATGAGCATTATATGTTTGATGAATTGAATGTTTGAATTTACATATCATACATAGTTGTTTGATTGGATTGAGATTCCCGTGAGAGATTGAGTGTGGAGTGTTTAATCCACAAAATCAATATACTTTGTGGGTTTAAGGGGTCGTTGTGGTTAAAAAGGGGTTTTCTCACTTAACTTCAGCATCATTCTATGATGATGTAATTGTGGGTAGATATATGCTTAAATTAGTGGCCGTTCGAGTGTAAATTTTAATTAACGTATTCACCCCCTCTAAGTAGTATCTTTTCTACGTGTATAATCTCGTAAGGGAAGAACCATATCGTATCTCCCTCTCCGCAATCCAGACTATTTCAACTTTAGTAAAAGTCATGGCATGATATTCGGTCTCAGCAGCAGAATGAATCAATAGTAATTTATTTTTTACTTTTCTAAGAAATAAGGGAACATCAATAAAGAGACAGAAGTCCGTGATGGACTTGCGACCTCTATTGAGCCGCCGGTCTATTCTACATTGGAGTAAGCCATGGGTTCCAACAAAGAAGAAAAAAAAAATAACAAAATTGTGATGTAGGGAACCCAGAAGAAAACAAAGAAGGAACCCAGAAGAAAACAAAGAATATGAATAAGGATCAAAATTTCGTTTCGGTGTATTATTTCGGTTACTTAGAAAATTAAAACGTTTTGATGTCTTTTGGAAATGTTTCGACGTGTTTCGGAAATGTTTTGATCTATTTCTAAAATATAATAAAAAAAATTAAAAATTTAATAATTATTTTTTCAAAACAGTGGTCAAATTATACCAAAATATCTTGAAATACCTTGAAACATTCAGAACTAGTTGAGCAAATGCATTGAAATATAACAAAATATTTCGAAACATTGTAGAACATCTCGAAATATTAAAATTTCAATTTCATCACTGATTGTTTTTAGTATTTTGACCGTTTTAAAATGATATTTTGATCCTTACATACGAATTATAGTTGATCAATGAACAGTGGTAGGTGAGAAAACAAATTGAGAAACAATGCGAACCACATATGAGATGTATAGATAAAACAGATAGGTTTCAATTTGCAAAATAACATATAATCTTTGAAGTAAAACATGTGATATTGTAATGATCTCAAGTTTCGATATATTAGTAGAAAATCCATAAGAGTAGAATCATTCTCAAAGTAAAAGATCATAACAAGGATATTTCATGATCGTAGGTTGATTCAGAAGAATTTACATGTGAAATATTTTCGGTCCATAAATGTCCACCTTCTAAATCAAACCCTGTAGGGCCACATAGTTTTAGGAAGTGCGTATGCTGACGCTGACACATCAGAATTTAATGAAAACTTCTTAGAAATAGTATCCTAATCCTTAGCGTTGAATCCCGTGAACGAATAGTAGTTTGGAACCCCGCAAGGAACAAACACTCCACTTCAAGTGATAGAAAACCTTCGAACCCCTCAAAATAATAAACACGTCCAAACACTTGGCGATATAAGCTTGAATACAACCCAAGATTATTAATCCTACCATAAAAGAGATGTAATTCATGTTTTTCAATAAATTCACGTTTACCATAAACAAAAATTCCACAAATTTCAATACATTCAGTAAAAACATGCATGAGATCGCAAGAAAACATTATCAACTAAGCATTATTCAACATCTAGGGTTTATGAGTAAAAAATGTAGAATCAGATGCAAATCATGTATTTTCCAATGGAGCAATGTTTTTAAAACCTAATTTACTGACCTAATTTATTACAATCATTGACTTGACTGTGGCCCCATCGAACATTAAAACTTGGTGTTTGTTCAATAGTTTCACTGAAACCACACCATTAGGTCAGCAAATTAGATCAAATTTTTAGGTCCAAATAGCATTATGAAAACTAATCATGTTTTTGCAAGAAATTCAAAAGAGTTGTAGATTTAGAATATGTGTAGTTGAATAAAAATTGCATATAAATAAGTCCTAGCCTCGATGAATAGCAAAAGGAAAGAAACGAAAATTTAATTCCAAAGAAAATTGCTCTTATCGTTTTTTGTGAGATTGCCCGCGCATTGATCCCCTCAAGATTTAGTCTGATCTACTCTTCTTCCCATTCATCATCTCTCCAAGATTCTCCTAGGCTGTTTAGGGTTGAAAAACATGTCAAAAAACCCTAAAACACGTCCTTAGGGTATTTATAGGTCAAAAACTAATCAAAACGGTGAACCAGACAAAATTGTTTTTGTTCAAACAAAAAAGTTCAATTCAAACGGAAAAGCTTTGTTCGAACGGTTCTTTTTGTTAGTAGCTGTCTTCCACCTTTATTAGGTTTGTGAGATTGCACTTCTGTTCGAACGGGTAAATTACCGTTCGAACTGACTCAACTTTCTGTCCAAATTTTTAAGACAGTTCTAGCCTAATTAGAGGTTGATTTACAAAATTTTTATGAGATGCACTTTGGTAGTTGTTGAAGTCGACTTATGAATACCGTCAGAATTAGTTCAAGGTAAAAAGTTATGGCCAAAATATTGAGATAATGTCAAATTCCTTCCTACCCGAATTCTTCCCAAAAATATGTATAAGCTTCAGAATAACTCCAAACATCTAATACATTTCATATTACCTATTCTAAGGTTTTTCGATCTTTCGGATTCAATGATAGAATTATTGACCTGAAAACATTTAAAATTTCATTTACTCCATTTCTCCTAAGGGTGATTACCCCAAACACATAAAGTCTCTTGAAGATCTCAATGACTCCTACCATATCAATTTTGCAATGATCTATTTAACCATGCTTCATTGAAACTGAACACAATACATAATAAACTATTGCAAATTAAAAGAAATGCATGGGGTCTTCCTATAATCGTTATGCTAATATAGTGAGACCCAACCATATCTAGGTTGTCTTGGTTACGACTTCAAGGTATCACCTCAACTTGGAGTTGAATTGTTTTGGACGATTTAGACTTATATAACTTTATGGATAAATATTTTCAATAGTACTCTTATTTTTCATTTTCACTATCTTTATAGGGGTTGATCATGTATTTTCAACATATGATGCATGAATGTTGTTCTTTACTACATTTTTTGTTTGAATTTTTTGTGCTTTCTATCAATCATTTTTTTTCGTGTCGGCCACACTATACCTTAATGTTGTGCCCAATTATGTATCAATGCCCTTCGAGCTTATGACTGATAGTGCCACCTTGAACAATACTTTGAAGCTAACCAAGACCTAATATGTGGTACCAAACAACTTTGATTCAATTATCGGTGTAAGTTAATTCATGTTATTTTAGGTTCATGTCAAATACTGATCAATCTGACCTGTGTAATGAACTCTTGTTAGATGATATGCATAACCTTTGAACAAAAAACTTAGTTCTAGAACCTCATTCTCTCTCACCAAAACTCATTACGAAGGTCCTCCATGTAATAAAAGATTACTTGTGCTAACAAAAACAAATAAAAGGTCTCTAATTTTACCAAGATTCACTCTATAGAGTAGGAAATAGAAAGAAATGAACAAAAAATAAACTTTTTTCTTTGCTATTCCAGTTCAACAGTTTTTCCATGTGAAGTCGAGTTCTTCACATTTGACACGAACTCGATTTGTCTATCATTCATATTAAAGGGTTGTTCCAAGTAGTAATCAAATCGAACATGAGTTCATGTTGTGTTATCATACAATGTCTAATATGTTGATATTATTATTGATGGTGAAACTTACAAAGCCTTCTTTTTGAGAATCCAAGGACCTTCGATGGTGAATCAGAATTAGTAGGATGCCCTCACATAAGCAAGCAGTACATTGAATTGGTGTTCCGTGGGGAGGAAAGAAGGGGCGGGGGGTTTGGAGGGTTGAGAGGGGAGTATCTTATTTCACCGCTCGATGCTAATTTGGTTTGATTAGACAATCATTTACTTGGGCTTATCTACAGAGTAGTTACAATGTTAAGATAAGCATCTCTTTTTCTTGATATGTCAAGCTTAGTGACTTCATTGTTATCAAAATTGTACGATTCGATTTTATAGAGTTCCAATTTGATTCATATCTTACTATAAGATCATTTTTTGCATTGAATTGCTCAAAAGAAAATTCTATTTGAACCTAATTTAGGGACATAATGATGTACAACCATTGAATTGGTTGTGGGCTTATTTCTTATGTGAACTTATTTATAAACTTGAAAAGAGGTTTGAAGTTGTTAATGACTGTAAAGCATTACTGTACTTCCTCTTTATTAGGGATCAACAATGAGATCTAATGTAAAGAATGTCGTACCTTTTTCCTCTACTTATTGCCTTTCCTATGGGAGAAAAAAACATGTGAGGATATGTCATCAACAGGATCTTTTCTCTCTTTTCTGTTTCGAAGCAAAGAAAAATCTGTGGACCGTGAAGTCATCCAAAGGTTATAGTTTTGCATAAATTCTCTTTCCGTCCTTCTGTATAAATTATATGCTAGCAATTAGCTTTAATCTTTGTGCGATGAATATTGAGTATTATTTTTTGCTATAGCAATGGAAAACATTGACGTATCTTTGCTGCATGTGAATTGGTCAAATGTTCATTAATCTCGGTAGGCGAACTGCATTTTTCTGGGAAGTTTTTATTTTGATAAGGATGCTTAAAATTGGGCATTTTGTCATGTTCGGATAACGGAATACGAATCTTTTACTTCTTTGTGAATATGGGCAAATGTTTGTGCTGCTCCAAGCAACGTGACCATGATATCTTGCACTGCTTCTGAATAGGCAGGCAGATATCTATATGTAGTTAGTGCCTTTTGCGTCTGTTCAACCACTTTCTTGTAGTCCTGGACTCTTAAAATTGCTTGTGATGATTGTATTTGTCATACACTTAATGGTGCAGGGCTGTACGGGTTGCACCTTTCTCAAACAGATTGGCCCATGCAGTTCCTCCAAATATCCAAGGGCTTCGCTGCTTGGCAAACTTTGAAGCACTTAGGTTTTCAGAACCTATACGCACACTTGCTGCAAAAATGGTGGATAGGATGGTTAAGAATAGCTCTAACAGTGGGGGAAAGTACGTTTCAGTGCATCTCCGGTTTGAAGAGGTGCTATTTGCTGTTTCTTTGTAATAAAAATTCGCAATTCCTGTCTGCTTTACAGGTATATATTGAATGATATCTAAGAGCTATTCTTCTCGTATTGAAGGATATGGTTGCATTTTCATGTTGTTTATATGATGGTGGTGAGGAAGAAAAACGTGAGATGGATATTGCTCGTGAAAGAAGTTGGAGAGGAAAATTTCGTAGAAGGGGCAGAGTAATAAGGCCAGGTGCAATTCGGGTGGATGGCAAGTGCCCATTAACTCCATTGGAGGTATATAGATGCCCACAATACTTTTGATCAATGCCTTCCCCTCCATCCCCTTTCTTCTCTTTTTGTCATCATATCTTAGCTCTAGTGTCATTTATATCTTTTTATTTGAGTGAATTTGTAGGTTATGGATGCCTATCAAAAAAAAAAAGATGATGCGTGTTTGCCATGTGGGCCCTGACAATTTACCTAATTTGTTTACCTTATGAGCGACTGCTTGTACTTAGATGTCCATAAGCTGGAGGTCAGCTATGTTGACAAACCATTTTAGGTGATTTGAGGTGTGTGTATGAATTGATCTTCGCTAGAGAGTGATCTAGTTGTTTCCTTGCCAAAAAAAGAAAAAGATCTCATTGCTTCTCTACGCTTTGACTTATGCCCACAAGTTGGAGGTAGCCATCTTGAAAGGTTTGAGAAAAGAATGTTCTTTAGTTTTTGTGGTGTTGAGGTGCTTCACTAAAGGCACCTTGTGGTACCACTTGGGCACATTGGTAAGGCATTTTGGGGGTTGACAGTACACAATTTTTTTGTGCATGCAAAGGCTGTTGTAGTAGTAATCAAAAGATTTTGCATACTTGTTCATGTGCTTGTGTTGCTGTCTGTACGGGAGGTTTTGTTTTTCCTTTTTTTTTTTGGTGGGATGGGGGAGAAGGAGGAAGAAAAGGAAGATGATATAAATAATGTGAATTGCAGGTCAATGTACTTTCAGGAATCATTGTAAGGCATGGTGCAAACTTAAACTTTAAAGCATCTGCATCCAATTAACATGTGTAGAAATTATAATGGCAGTGAGGAACTTAATGAGAAAAATTGAGTTAACATCAACATGGCCTTCATCTCTATTTTCAATGTAAAACAATCACATTAATGTAAATCTAACCTCTTTGCTTGTCTGTGCACAGTGTCTTGTTAAAAACTTATTCTGCCTCAGAATTTCAAATTTATTGAGCAGAATGCTTGAAAATTATGGACAACTTTTTGATATGACAGCAATGCTGATAACAAGTTGAGAGAAAAGCTTTTTCATATGAAAATAAGAATGTAGACTTAATTTTTAATAAATACTATTGTATGGTAAACGTAGATTAAGCAAATGGAAAACAAAAGGAGAGAGTTATAAATTCAGCAATTGGCTGCCGAGTAATACTTGAAAATTGAGCTTAAGTGTTTCATGGCGTATATGCATTTCATAAATACATAGTTTCAGAATTTAAATTACTATTGGTAATAAGTGAAGATTATTTCTTAAAATTGCCTCAGAGAAGTATGCTCAATGATGGGCCATCTGCCTGTAATGCATTTATGCATTTTGAAGCTTTATTTATTTGTTTTCCACTTTTCCTCCTTGGCTTATTTGATGGATTAGTTTTACAATTTTAGAACATTATAGTTGTATGAGAAATCCTAAATAAATTCGTGCTGCATGACCTGGAACGAAACATGGAGATTTTTTTACATTTTTTCCCTTTATCTTTTGCTTTTTGGGTCCTGCTTTAACCTAGAAGTATGAATATAATGGAGTGTATTTGTTTGGATTTCACAAAACTGGTTTCTGAAAGGTATTAGTCCTTCTCAGTATGCTTTCTCATCCCATTAGTTTTGATGATGATGGCCGGGGGGCAGGGAAAAGAATCGAGTCAATCAGGTTGGCAAAACTTCTAAAACTTCTCTACAATCGGTTCAACTATCAGTAGTTGCTCAAATGTGACCTGTTTCCTTCACTTTTACATAAATTAATCTTTTTCTTCCTTTTTCCTTTTCTATTTTATTTCAGAATAGAAGCTATTGAATTTCTGAACTGGTCTAGGGATTGAGTACTAGAAAATGGAGGTGGCTCAATGAACAATAGACATGTACATATTTTAGTGTTCTCTGACTTTGATGGTTCTTACTTTATTTTGTTTTGCACTGTAGGTTGGAATGATGCTTAGGGGTATGGGTTTCAATAATAACACCTCAATTTATGTTGCTGCGGGAAAAATTTATAAATCTGAGAAGTATATGGCCCCACTGAAGCAGATGTTTCCACTTTTAGAAACAAAGGATACATTAGCTTCCCCAGAAGAACTTGCTCCATTCAAGGTACAAGGATGTGCCCCTTTAACTTACATACTTGTATTTCAATCGCAGTAAGTCATTATAATAGTTACATTTATGATGTAGGGCCACTCATCTAGGTTGGCTGCTCTTGATTACACAGTTTGCCTTCATAGTGAAGTATTTGTCACGACTCAAGGAGGTAATTTTCCCCACTTCCTGGTGGGTCATAGACGCTACTTCTATGAAGGACATGCCAAAACAATCAAACCTGACAAGAGGAAATTAGCTGTATTATTTGATCGCCCCAATATCAGGTGACACAATTTTTTTTTATTCTTATTGTCTCTTTTTTTGCACCTTTCATTCCACGGAACCACAAATTCTTTGAATGAAGAACACTTGTGCAGTTTTACTTTTTGTTTCATGCCATTGTTTTCTAACAGAATAACATTTACATGGTAAGTCACAAATCCATCACTATGCGTTAGAAATAATCTGGCTACCATCTCTCTGTTGCCTCCAACATGGTTAGCAGTTAGCATTCTTTGTATATAACAGTTAAAAGGCTATTAGTCTGTGAACTTTTACTGACCAATATATGTGAAATTCTCTCCATGGGCCAAGCGAAATTTTCATTGGTCAGCCAAGTTTAATTATTTAGTCAATCAACCAAGTTTAGTTATGTAATCAATCAGTTAGACATGTGGCAAGAACCCAATACATCTCTCTCTCTCTCTCACACACACACACTCAAGCACATTTAGGTGCATTTAGTTCTGAATTGAAATTCCTATTCCGTAGTTACATAACATTAGTAAATACTAAACTTAGTTCATTCCCTCCGACTTCTTGTGTGTGTGTCTGTCTTGGGGGGGCGTGGAAGGGGGAGTGTGGAGATTACCAACCATTGGCGTACTTGGAGAACATTTCATCATTTGCAGATGACAGCTGAAATAGGATTATAAAAGATAAGATGATGAACAAAGAAAGGCATAGCTCGCGCTTCCAGTGTAGTATTATAATAATGCAGTTTGTTGCTCAGGGTTCAGGGATTGAATGTACTTTGTATTGAGGTACTTACCTTTGAAAACTAAATCCATGCTTGTAAATGGCCCTAAAATTCTTGCAATTGGTACTGTTCAAGAGAACATTGATTAGAATCCTTCCATATCACCTTTCAATTGGTGAGGATCTTATCATATTTGTAAGCCTTTGAAGGCTTTTCGGAGAAAAATGCATAATGAATATTTTGCGAATTTGATAGTCGTCAATTTTAAAGAGTTTGCGGTATATAGGGCACTGTATTTTCTTTGGGGGTAGAATTTGGGTCCTAGTAATTTCATGTCGGCTATCGGTTAATTGAGGGTAGCATCGTACCATTAGGGTCTTAAGGCCCATAAATTGGTGTTTTAGGGGACACCAAACACATTACTCTAGGCTGAATGAATAGCCAGATCTGAAAGACTTTATGTGATAGTTTATGTCCGTGTTCCCTCTTTCAGCCTCAGTGGAGCAGAGGCTAGTCAAGCTCCAGATGGACTGTTTTTGCATGTGGGCTTGCATACGAGACTCCAGCTTTAGTTTGGCTGAGTGAGAAACGGTTTGCTTCCTGCTCATTGAAGGTTAAGATTTCAGAACTATGGCATCCATCGATCTTTGTTGGTGTGGTGGGAGAGTACATGGATGAGAATTGCTTATGCAGTAGAGCGGTGGACCAAGTACACTAGTTGGTGGCTTGAGTGAGATTTTTGGCACAAAATTTGGCATTTTATGGTACTTTAAGACTGGTTTTTAGGATCTTTCAGGATTTTAGTTGGCAAAGAGATGCAAAAAAAAAATTGATACGAGGACACTAGAAATATTTGTGAGTGAATGAGATACTCAAACTAAGAGTAGAGTCTCGTGTATATAGTCAAATAATAATACACTAGAATATTTGTAAGTGAATGAGAATACAAACTAAGTGTAGAGTCCCGTATATATAGTCAATGAAAGTTACAATAAGGATAAAAAGGTAATACAGGAAAACTCTAATAAATCCTAATAAGCTAGACTGTTATATCTCCAACACTCCCCCTTAAGTTAGGCGCAAAAATGTCAACTAAGCCAAATTTGACAACGAAATCCCGAAGAATGGATAGAGTGACAGATTTGGAGAAAATATCCATAATCTGATCACTGATCCCCACAAACGATGGAGTGACAATACCATTGTTAATCTTCTCTCGAAAAAAGTGAATATTGATCTCTATATGCTTCGTCCTCTCGTGTAATACAGAGTCAGAAACGAGCTGAATAGCAGACCGATTATCACAATATAATGTAGATGAAGAAGTCATTAAAAATTCCAACTCGCCAAGAATCGATCGTAGCCAAATAATCTCACATGTGCCAAGTGCCAGTGCCCGATACTCTGCCTCTGCTGATGAGCGAGAGACAACTGACTGTTTCTTGCTTTTCCAAGAGATAAGATGAGTCCCTCGAAAAGCACAGAAGCCCGCAGTAGATTGACCGTCACACGCTCCCCATAATCTGAATCTGAATCTGAATAACAGGCTAGAGAACCAGTCTGAGATTCTGATGCATAGAACAACCCAAGTCCAGGACAAGACTTGAGGTACCGAAGAATATGATAAATTGCATCAAGATGAGGCTGACATGGTCTGTGCATGAACTGACTAACTCGGCTAACAACGAATGAAATATCTGGCCTAGTGTTGGTTAGGTAGATAAGTCTACCTACAAACCTCTGATAGATAGTCGGATCTCTCAACTCCTCACCTTCAGCAGTAAGCTTCAAGTTTGGAATCATGAGTAATGATGTCAGTTTGTACCCCCGCATCCCGGTGTCTGAGAGAAGATCCATAACATACTTTCTCTGAGAAAGAACTATGCCTCTGCTGCTATGGGCAACCTTAATCCCAAGAAAGTATCGCAAAAATCTAAGATCTTTTACATCGAAGGCCTTCCCAAGATCTACCTTGACCTGCGCAGTCCTAGAAATATCATCTCCAGTAATAAAAATATCATTAACATATACTAAAAGGATGACACACTGTCCAGAAGTATTCTATCGAATGAAGCAGGTATGATCAGAATGACATCTGGTGAACCCTAAACATACAACTGCATCACTAAAGCGAGAGAACTTGGCTCGTGGTGACTGTTTCAGTCTATAAAGAGACTTACGCAGTTGACATACCTTTCCAACATACTCCCCCTCACCACGAAAATCCGGTGGTGCATGTTGCTTGTGGGATCATAACATCTAAACTGTGATACATACGACGTCTAACAGGATCATAACACCGATACCCCTTAGACTGATGACAATAGTACACAAAAACATAACGTATTGCTTTATCATCAAGCTTATGACGAGTAGGAGACCGATCCTGAACAAAACATGTATATCCAAAAACACAAGGAAGGACCGGAAAAAGTGTTTGCTTAGGAAATAAAATCTATAAGGGAGCCTTATGCTGAAGAATACGACTTGACGTACGATTGCACAAAAAGGTAGAAGTCAAAACAGCAAAATGCCAATAAGATTTTGGCACTCCCATGCCTCTAAGCATACAACGTACCATCCCTATCAGACTCCTATTTTTCCTTTCAGCAACGCCATCTTTCTCAGGAGTATATGGACAAGTGAGTTGTTGAAGGATACCCTGAGAAGAAAGGTGAGATACTAAGACATCAGACACATATTCTTTGGCATTATCCGAACAAAGAGCACGAACAATGATATCAAATTATGTCTTAATCATCTGTAGAAACTGAGTGATTATAGGGAGTACATCGAACTTCCTTTGCAAAAGATAGACCCAAGTACAACAAGTATGGTCATCTATAAATGTCATATAGTATTGGGCACCTGACAGAGCAGTAACAGGAGAGGGTCCCCAAATATTAGAGTGTATTAGGTCTAATGGCTTGGGTGACTGGTGCATGCGAGGAATATAACTGGTCCTAACATGTTTCGATAGGGAACATATAACACAGTCAAGTTTATCACCAACACAAGCATTGCTCAAAGTAGGAAACAATATACATAAATATTTAAAATTTGTATGTCCAAAACGGTCATGCCACAACTGAACAGTTTGTAACGAAAAATCATAACGACAATTACTAGGTAAAATACTAGCATGCAATTTAGGAACAGATAAAAATAAAGCAGGTGCAGGTGATGTAGGTGGAGGAATTGATGAAACTGGAGGCAGATTGCCTAGATAATACAGTCCATCTCTCTCATGTCTCCTGATAATAATCCTTTTGGAATTCAGGTCCTGTAAATAACACGAATCAGATAAGATTACAACCATACAGTAAAAATCTCTAGCTAACTGATGTACAGATAATAGATTCATGGTCAACTTTGGCGCATGAAAAATCGAACTTAATGTAAAGCCATCTGAGAGGCGAATTGTACTCCTACTAACAATAGGGGCATGTGTCCCATCTGCTAACTGAACCTGTGTATGTAATTGTTAGTCAAAAGTGGTGAAGTGACGGGCATCACCTATCATGTGACCATTCACACCCGAGTCCAATATCCAAAGGGGAGACGAACTGACACAAACACGAAAGGCACGAGGTATACCTATAGTGGTGGCAGCAGCAGTAGTTGGACTCTGAAAAGTCAGAGTGGACATAAGTATATCCAATCGAAAAGTGATAGCATCCGTATCACTCTGCCAAGGAGGAGCAGTAGTAGTAGGTGGTGGTACCTCAGCAATAGCAGCAGTACGACTGCGAGGAGGCGGCTTAAGCTCAGGATAGAGCTTTCAGCAAGCAGCTCTGAGATGTTCTAGTCGGCCACAATAATTACACTGACGAGAATCCCTCTGTCTGCGCTGATTTTGGGCACCTTGACGACACTGGTTCGAGCGCTGCCCACCCCTAATTGAGGATCCTGAACGAGACCCTATAGCAGCTACAAGGGTCATATGATTAGCCGGAGGAGTCAAGGTCGCAACTAGAAGGGATGCAATACGAACATGGCACTCATGCTGCTCAATCATCGTATACACCTCATAAAGAGAAGGAAGTGTCAACATTGACAAGATCCGGGAATGAGGTCCCTCAAACTCATCACGAAGCCCCATAAGGAACTTGTGAATCCTATCCTCCTGCTCTCGAGTATGCAAGAATGTTGCTCCCTCGAGCTCTATTCTCGAAATAGCAATAAGAGGACGTAATGTTTCATACTCAAGCCAGCGTTGGGTCAAAAAGTCATAATAATCCTGAATGGTCATATCTCCCTGTTAAGCATACGAGAGCTCCTGAGAAAGCTCATAAATACGAACTCCCAGTCCTAATTGGGAATACATCTCTGATAATGCGCTCCATAGCTTCGGAACAGAGTTATAAAACTGGTGGATCCTGCAAACAGATGGCTCCGTCGAGTCAAATAACCATCCAAGAATGGCGCAGTTCTCAGAGAACCACGCAGAATATCCAGGGTTGGCATCAGCTGGCTTTGGGTGAGATCCCGTCAACCAACCAAGCTTCCCTACACGGCCTAAGAAAAGCTGGAATGAGCGAGACCACTCAACAAAGTTACGGCCATTCAACAATTGTGTCGTAACTTTTTGAGAGATCATGTCTGGTAGTGCTGATAATGTAACTGTACCAGTAGGTATTGTATACTGATCAAACATAAAAGTGAAAGTATCAATAGATGTCTCAACGGTAGAGGTATCAACCGTAAAGGTCTCAAGTTCCTTAGTAGTAAGCCATATCAACAACAATACTAGAGCACCTGTGAAAGAAAAATAATTCTCAGATAAATAGATGGATAAAAGAAGGGAGAACAATATACCTCCAGTCGAACAGTAGCGACAGATAAAGAAGGTCCAGAAAACTCCTAAAAAATTAGGTCACGGTGTCCAGAAATTCAATAAATATAAATAAATGATCTACTGCATCAAAAGCGTATCAACGGAGACGAGGATTCAAGAAAAAATCGCGACTCGATTGTGGGCTGATGAGTGGACTGGTCTGTGGTAAGTGACCCAGCAGTGGGCAGTAGGGATAGTGGGCTAGTTTGTGGTATATTGGGTTTGGGTTTGGACAGTGGGGCTGGTCTGGGTGTTTGTCGTTGGGCTTGTGTGCAGTGGTTGCTAGGCTCGTGGGTATTGGGGTTTGGGTTGATTGTTTGTCGCTAGGCTTGTGGGCAGTGGGGTTGGACTATGGGCTAGACACGGGTTGGGCTTATGAGCTTGTGGGGTTTATGCTTGGTTGTCGGGACTTGGGTTGACTGTCGGTGCAGTCAGTGGATGGTGGTTTGTCAATTGGTGCTTGTTGCTTGTGGGCTTTGGGGTTTGCTTGTTGATGTCGTTGGTTGTTGTTGTTGTTGTTAGTCGGTGCTGTTGTTGTTGCTTGTGGGCAGTCGTTGTAGGTGGTGGACAGTAGGGTGAGATTGCATGTGTTGTTGTTGCTTTCGGTGGGTTCAGGGCAGTCGGTGGACTGAACAGTAGGGTGAGATTCTAGTTGCTGGTGCTGTGATGTCCGGCGGGGGCTAGAGTTAAGGTTATGGTTAGGGTTAGAGTTGGTGGCTCTGATACCAACTAGAA